GACCAAGACCATGACCAAACTGAGTTTGCAAGACCAAGACTCGTCTGGGTCTCGCATTTGGGCAACACTAGTTATAATTAGAACAAGTCCAACCACTCAGCCTTATGTTTATAAAATACAGATAAAGAATTAAATAGAGTATGTGGTAGGATATTATGGAGTGACGTGATCTTGGTTTATTTAGAGATTTAATCCTGTGTTTGGAATTTTTTCACATATAATCTAACATATAATATTGATTTTTTTTTTTTTTTTTTCTGGATCCTATAGAGAATTCACTGTAAAAAGGAATGGAAGATCTTGTGATTTGAGTGACAAAAGAGAGAAAAAGAAGTAAAGAAAAACAGATATTTTTGTATTGTGATATGAGAAGAGAATGAAAGTGAGAAAAGAAAGAAACTGATTAATAGATCTGCAACATAAATTAAGTAGATCTTCCTAATAAATTAATAAAATCACTTCAGAATAATATCTGCAGGATGAAGAATGTTTGAAACACACATTTGCGCATGCCCATTAAAAACCAGTTCTATATCAGTATCCAAATATACTTTAACTTCGGGCTAAACAGAACAAGCCGTTTTTAAAGTAATAGATAAGTCAAATTGGGGGTATGAAATCTGAATAAAAGTGATACCATAGGGATACCAGCACAATCTATAAATTTCATAAAATCCGAACTAACACGAGTAGATGACGCTTGCCTTTATTTCTTGATGCCTACGACTTATGTGGTGATCAGAAATTTTCGATTCTAAAGACAAAATCACCATTAATTTTCTGAATGAATGCAAAGCTTTAGTCCCTTCGGAAGTAAGGTAGTAAAAACTAATGAAAAGATGCCATTTTCCTATAATAATATCTAGATGAACCATATTCATCAAAATAACTCGAATGTGAACTTTTTTAAATATTTATCCTATTAACAGATCTAAGTACGTAGGGTACTATAGAGGATTCCCTCAAAACAGCAAGATAGTCTTTAAATTTGTTTTTGAACAGTGATATCAACTAGAATCTTTTGGAATAGAATGGAAGTGTATGTTTAGATGTGTTGGAATCATGAGTTTCTCTACTTAAAATTTCCTTCCTTTCTTTTATTGTTGATGTATGATGTGCAGTATTTGGTCTGCATATGGGCGGTTAGAATAATAGTAGAATAAGTCTATTTTGATTCTTTTCTTTCCTTTTTTTCTTCGAAAAATAAATGATAAAAATAAAACGTAAATTAATATTATTAGAGTAATTAATACGTACTTTAATGATATAAATATGATATGCATACGTCATCAAAGTATATATGAACAACATTCATTTGCACTACAAAAACCAAAATTAAAATATTCTACTATCATTCTAAACGCCTCGTACTTATTTGATGTTTTTATGTGTCCTGGAGATGCCTGAATCAGAGATACTCTCAATAATTTGTTGATTAATAGTATTTTTGTTTAAGAGATTTAAATTTTTGTTTTTGGAAACTTCCAATTAGCAAACCGATACTTGACTTAAATTAATGTTCAAGAAAACGATGGATAAACTTTTAATTTTTACTTAAACATTGTATGAACTCAATTGAAGATATTGAATTTCCAATTTATCACAATACATTTCAAAATAACATACCATTTATGACAATAATAAGTAACTATATTTTTGAGCCAAAAAAAAAAAAAAAAATAGCAATTTGATTCATTGAAGAATGCAGTGAACCTCCATGGTATTGCGTTTTAAGTTCGAATTTTAAAAACAATCCAATTTTTTCTTTAAAGAAACTATAAATCACCTTAAATGGTATTAACTTCGATGGTAAAAGACGACAAAGTTAACAGAAAATTGATACTAATATGATCGGTTCGGTTGAGTGTCAACTGCAACCAATGAAAGAGGTCAGTTTTTGTCAATTAGCTTCAATTGCCTCTCTGCTCTGATTGAACTAGGAACAGTGAATTAGTCGTTGGTGATTGTACTCTATATTAAATAATCACCTTTAATATCAACCATTAAGTTTAACCATCAAACAGTTAGTGGCTATTCCCGCGATCTCACAGTTAATTACACACAAACAAACCATTTCCCTGAACTAGAAACAACATGGCATCGTAATTCAGTTACCCTTCCCTTCTTCTTAGAAAGTGATTTGATAAGGAAAACAAAAGTTAAGTAATTGATGTGGTAACATTTGTTTCATTAACGCATAATTTTGTTTAAACAACATAATCGAGATTATGAGTTAATAATATAAGTTATTATATTATAATACATCGTTGACAACATTTACATAATGAAACAGGTTTAATATTAATAATTGTAATGATCAACTATTGAAGGTAAACTAACTTTACTTTTAGATGGTGACAAGTAAGGAGCGTCATATCTTATTCATTCAACATTTGCTTCAATTCATTAACTGTTTTAAATTCAAAACAGCTTTTTTATAAAGAAGCATTATACTCACTACACATACACAATCGAGTAATTAAGCCATTGAATAGACTGACACTTCTACACAATATTGAAAACAACATACAACTATAGACAGAATAACTTAATAATAAGATTTATATTGGTAACACTGATAGTATCTTTCATAAGTGATTCGTTCGAATAACAATTGATATATCAATTGTATTATTCTATGCATTTATGAACTTTAAATAAAAATTTTAAGTGATTTAAAGTTGTGAAATGACACTTAACGACTTTTTACAATAATCCGACAGTATGTTCCAACAATGAATCAGTTATTAAATACAGAATAATATATTTTTATAAATTTAAAATAAAATTTATTTTTCATTATTGCCAATCTTTGTAATATTATTCAAATTTATGGTATTGATTAATATGATGTCAGATTTTAAAAAAAAAGATATCTGAGAAATTATTTTTTTTAAATTTGGTCTAGAACTCAGTTTCAAGACCTTTCAGAATTAATTTAAAATTGGTATAAATTGTAAATAATATCGTAATCTTAAGACAATGCAATATATCTATTCAAGCTTTAAATTATATTATATTTTATGTAATCAAATACTTTATTTTTACTACTGGATAGTTCTTCCATAGGATAAATGACAAATGATTTATTTACAGGATAATTTTATGCACCGTAAATCTGAGAAACATTAGGCCTAGGTTCTGATATTGTACTAGAGTTTTTTTAAATTTAAAATTACCCGGTGGATTGGAACATTGTTATATCAAGACTAAAAAGAAAAGTTGTCTGAATACAAAAATGAAGTCTGTCAGATAATTTCGTATTCAAAATAAACTCAGTAACGAAGTCGCCCTCAAGTCCCAAAGCAACCCCAGTTAACAAGTATACGATGTTTTCAGTTTGAATTCAAGGTTTTGTGTTTATTTAAACTGCGAACATTACAAATACTGGTAAGAATACTACATTTATTTTTTATTGTATGCACAATTCGTACATCCTTCTATATAATCTTTTGATTTTATTTTTTAATTTAATAGGAGAAACCTAATCGAAGTTGAATTACTTGCATTTTCCTTATACTAAGACTTATAATAATGTTTAATTTTAAAAGTAAATTTGGAATCATCTATCATTAATTATGATCAACTATAAGGTATGTTAATTTTTTTTTAATATATTAAATCAGATTATAAAATTCATTAGAGATGGGTATCCAAAAACCTAAAACGAGTACTGAAACAGTATTTTTTTTTTCTGTTTAGTCAAGAACACGGAATTGCAATGTTCAATTAAACAGTTGCAGAAGTATTCAGAAACTATAAAGTTTGGTGATTTTTTTGAGGATTACAGTATTTATATCTAAATCAGATTATGAAATTTATTAGTCCGAGGGATGGACATTTAAAAACTTCAATATTTTTTAAAATTTAGTTTGGTTCTAGAACACATAGCTGCTAAGTTTAATAAATCAGTTTCAGGAGCATTCAGAAACTATAAAGTTTTTTTTTTCTGGATTAAAATATTTATATCTGAATATGATATTCATAGGGATCCAAAAAGTTAAAACAAGTACTTAAATAGTATTTTTTTCTGTTTAGTCAAGAACACGGAATTGCAATGTTCAATGAAACAGTTGCAAAGTATTCAGAAAGTTTAAAGTTTGATGATTTTTTCAGGATTAAAATATTCATATCTGAATCAGATTATGATATTAATTAGAGATGGGTATCCAAAAACTTAAAACTTCTTTTCCTTTCAGTTCAGTCTAGAACACATCACTACGATATTAAAAAAAAAAAGTTATAAGCACTTAGAATACGCTGATTTTTCACAACTAAAATAATTATTCCTGTATCAAGCTATGCGAGATGGACGCCCAAAAGTATGATACGAATACATTAAGTACAGTTTTTTTTTTTTTTTCTTTCATTCGGTCAAGAACACATCACTGCGATATTCAATAAAAAACGCTCAAGAGTATTTAGAGACGATTCTAACCCGGCATGAATTGTCAAGATGACAGAAGGATCGTGGTGTTCGCTGTTCTCGAAGGATATGGCAGAATACGGCACATTCTGTCAGAGGAGTGTTTGTGAGTGCGATGGTGAGAGTAGAGATGAAGTATGGACCTGAGCAGGTAGGCTGAGAGCGAGGCAGGTAGCAGCCGGTCACTGACCCAACGTCGTCTCAGGACGTCTTGTCTGATCCTGACTGGTCTTGACTGAGGAGGATTGTCTGATCTTGACTGTCGTAGTCAGTCCACGGCCTAAAGATCTTGAGCACTCCAGTTGGCGCTTGTCCATGTCAATAATGTGTCAAAAGGAGTCTTCCGTCACTTGTCAAATCAAAGTATATTTGTGCATATATATTGAAAAACATCCACATGCAAAGTGGCAAATTCACTGTAACGTGTATTCTAGAGCACTTGTTCGATTCTAATAAATATGAAGTTATTGTAAAAATTCAAACTTTTTTTTATACAGAGCAACACTAACATAAAATAACACTTTATAAATATATATATTTAATAATAAATAATTAATAATATAAATAAAATTACCAGTGATATGCTGAGTACAATAGATAGGGGAGCTCCAGGAGGGAAGGAACACTGACTGAGAGCACAATAAGAACGAGACTGGCTGGAATGTCGTCGTCGGTCTGCAATCCGGGGCTAGTTGAGCGGGATACCACGAGGGGCGCCACCTATCTGCCCTATCCCTTCGCCTCTAACCTAGTCTTCATTATCACTTATTTTTTATTATCGTCCTCTTTCTACTTAACAAACTTTCTAGCTACCTGTCTATTCTTTATCTTAACATACTGGAACTCAATTCATCAAATCAGAACCTTGTCTAATCTGTATCCTTTGCGCTTCATTATGGGCCCTTTGGATTCCTTTGTACGCGCGAATCATCTGTATTTAAGTAGTTAGGAGGTATGAAAACAATGAATATAGCCCTGCCATAGGAACTTAAAAGGGCACTTATTTTATTCTTAGTAAAATTAACCTAATCTATCATTGCAGAGCTGTTGATTTCAAAAAGTACGGCTGACTTGAATATATTAAACCAGTAAGTTGAGGATGGTATTTGAAAGTAGTGTGATACGTGCATCAAATTTTATTATTTAATTTTCTTGTGATATTTTTAAGACCTTTGCCCTTTTTTTAATGTTTTTATTTAATAAATTTTAATTAACGAATAGTTAAGTATTATCAGCGCGTTCTAGTATAATGTCTTCTACAAACTAGAAATTATAACGAAAATGCCTGATATATGGATGAATATATAATAATGATATATTAAAAAAAAAATATATGAAATGGTGAATGATTCGTGAAAATGGCTCAGGAAGCTAAAACGTTGGCAAATAAAGAAATGCACTAAAACACATTTTATTGGTGACCTGTGGCCTTAAATGTATTTAATAAAAACATTTATTATTTTTAGAAATTATGCTACCATTATTTAAACTTAGAAAGATTTGTTCCAACTATTGAAATAGATAAGAAATTAAATTCCAATTATTTGTACAGTTTAGGAGATATTGGCAAAACTACGCAAATAACTCAATCTGCCTTAAGCGGTGGAAAATTAAGTATATCTACATAGAAATATAATGTTAGTTAGTTTCTATGAATCTTCGAACTTGATGAAGTAGTCGGATGCCTTCCATGATACATCACAGCTGTTTCTGTTCCATACATCTATGTACTAGCCGATCCAGGATTTCATTTTGGGGGAGGGCTTCAACCCTAAAGATTATTTTTGTATGTATATTAAGGAAATTACTTCGGAAAGAAGAAAGAAACTAACTACCTTTATGAAATTGAGTTTAAGTGATTCATGAAGTCCTTTCAAATGTAATTAGATGAACAATAATACTCTTAGAGATAATTTTTTTTCATAAAACATGGTTATGTTTTAGCATTGGGGGGAGGGGGAGTTTAACCCGAAAGCCCTTTCTTCCCCCTCCCCCACGTAGATCCGTCTATGCATCTATGCATGTCAATATTCAGAAAGCTCCTATGCTATCGTCTGCTGTGTAAACACACACAACGTAAGTTAATATATTGTGAGAATAGAATAGAATACAAAATATTTTTATTCTGCGACAAACTCCCTTTAGAATAACAAAAAAGTACAAAATTAAAATATTATATCTGGTTTAAATAAAAACAAACATAAAAAGTAGAATAGACTAGGAGCTACCGACCATTTCATTTAATGGAATGAGTTATTGCTAGTAACCATTTTAAATTCTAAATAAACCCCATCTGAACACACAACTTTGGTCATTCAGTCGAAAGCCGTTCCTTTTCATGCAAAAACTTTAATTAATGAGGTGAAATTTAACGGGAAACTGACGACTGAAATTTTAGGTAATGATGGTATGAATATGTCCCTAAAAGAGAATTCACCTTCACTGATGTTGTACTCGTTTGGTTGCATTTTGAAAACTTACGGCGTCAAAACCATCAAAGCCATTAAATTAGGCCAATCGGATGGTAGTTGGATTATAAAACAATTCAAATAGTCGGTTTCACTTCGGTATTCATGTTTTATTCAGATTCTTAATCAGAATTTGATGTTGCCGGACGAAATTTTCCATACGTTTCGAGATATATGCAGAAAACTGCGAAATTTCCGAACTTTTTGTAGGTTTTTGGACATGATTCCGAAACTATGGATTTTATCGAAATTATTATCATATACAAAGTTAAAGAAGAAAAAATTTACTATAAATTTTGTACTTAGCTTTTTGATGTAGGGCCAACGTGTGAAGGATTAGAGAATGTTAACTGTTTGCTTATTTTACAAGAAATATTTTCGTCGGTTTTTCCCGAAACACATGATAAATATATTATCATACACTTCTCGAAAAAATACATTAAAATCAATTTGAAAGATCATTGAATTTAAATTATCAATGTATCTCATGTAGATATGTTAATGTGTGAGAAGATTAAGCGGCTGTTAAAGCTCATGTAATCATTGGCGTATTTCAACGTAGTATATGGCGCTTCCAATATAAGCGCTTTTTATCTTTAAAATGCTTTCGATTCGGCTATTTTGACTATATTTATAACAAAACTAGAATTTATAAACAAATTTTCTAAACTAACATTCTGTTAGTTTCAGAGACATCAAAATTCATAATAATCAAAAGCTTAGGAACCGAAATGCGCTTCAAAGTCCGACTGCTCTAACGGCTTTTCAACTTTTCGTATATTAACGATTATATCCGAGTTAAATAAAAATTTTGATGCACTTTCAATTTAATTCAAGAGTAGGCGAAATGTCGTTGAGCTGCTCGATCTTTGAAACGCATTTTGGTACTTAATTTTTTTATGATTGTTATGGATGTTGAAGTCTCTCATACGAACAGAATAAATAAAAGGTATGTAATTTGTTTTTTATTCTAGTTCTGTTATAAAATAGTTAAATTAGCGGAATCAAAAGCATTGAAAAGATAAAAACTACTTAGTTGAGAACGGCAGATACTACAAGGGAAAAACGTCTTCGATGCCATGCGCTTTAACTGCCCCTCAATCTTATTACCTATTAACATGTCTTTATGAGGTATATAGGAAAATTAATGCACTTTTAAATTAATTGTAATAATTTTTTTCGAGAGATGCATTCAAAATTCTATAACTCCTTACCTCTTGGCCCTACATAAAAAAGTAATGAATGAAAATGATAGTTCATCATAGTTGATCATTTCTGTAAAATGCATAGTTTCGGTGTCATATGCAAAAAATTGAAAAAAGTTCGAAAATTTCGCTGTTCTTTGCATATATCTCGGAACGCAATGGAATAACTCGTTCGGAGACATCGAATTCGAATTTAGTATCCCGAAAAAACATAAAAATTAGAGTTGTCTAAATGTTGACGAGTCTTGGTCTTGGCCTCGCAATAGTCTTGCAGTGACCTATTAGCCTATTACTATAGAGATATTACTGCATTTTTTTTTCAGATAGGGGAAACCTAAATAAGCCCGAATGAAAAATTGGAAGAGTTAAATGCAAAAGTATATTAGTTTACCAATTATTTACGTATAGTAACTAAAATTGTCAAGTATTAGTAGCTATTTTGGCGTAAGTTTTATTCACAAAAACGATTTTTTTAAACTAGTATTGGCCTTGGTCTTGCAATAGTTAGATGGGCCTTGGTTGAGGTCTTGCAAGGTGCAAGACTAAGACCGATTTTAGGCAACACTACATATAGCCAACTCAAGTCACAAGGAATTAAACGATTTGTGAAAATAAACATTGGCATAGATAATGAATTCTTAATTTTTCATTGGTGCCTTTAAATTTGAATTAAATAAGTTCTACTATGGTGAAAATTACTAAAATTAAAAAAATTAATCACTTGGCATTGGTCTTGCAACAGTCAGGTGGTCATGATCTTGGTCTTGCAAAGCGCAAGACTTAGACCGAATTGGGACAACACTAATAAAAACCGAAGAGAAACCGATTATCTGAATTTGTTTCCTCATCCGAGTACCACCTGACCAGCCTAATTTGATGACTTTGACGTCGTCAGTTTTCAAAACGTAACCCCCACATCGTCAATCAAGGTGATCACTATTTTCGGGACCTATTCTTTACACCATATCGAAATTTCAGCCGTCAGTTCTTCCGTTGAAGTGAAATGAAATGAACCATCAAATTTCGTCTTATTAATTTAAATTTTTTTATAGAAACCGACGCATTTCAAACGACTGACCATAGTTGCGTGTTCAGATAAGGTTTATCTAGAATTTAAAATGGTCACCATGTATAGATCCTTCCGTTAAGTCCGATATATAGATGGTATAGATAGATATTTATATTCTGGATAATATCGATATCTGGCCTTCGATATCCCATCCTTACATATATACAGTCTATTTTGTGAGACTTGGTTATTTGGACTCGAAACAGAGATATTTCCATTGAAAACTAAGATATGAAATTTTTCACGATCACAATACTTTTCCTAATTATATATTTTATGTGTAGGTAAGTGAAAGTAATAATAATGAAAATTTGAATTTCGTTTTATGCCTATCAGAAACAACCTTTTCAGTTACCAACCACTCTTGCAGCTCCTGATTCATTCTGTCAAACAATTCAATTGTCCCTTTCATAATGAATTACCAATGAGATAAAACCTTGGTCGGGAAGAAACAATAACTTGGTCTTTTTTTTCCCTCTCATTGTCCACCGGCCTATATGCCTTACACTGTCTTCTAGGAATGGTTTATTCAGTCCTGGAAATGCTGTTAGACCAGTATACATTCCATCTTGCAATAATTAAAGAAAATATTTTTCTTTTTTATATTTTTTGTTATTATAAGAGTAGCGTAAAGCTAAGTTTGCGAAGTCGAAAATCCAAGTAATAAGTTTCTATGAGCAAAGATACAGGAAATCAGAAGAGTAGGAAAGAGGGGACAACTTGCCCTGACCTCAATGGTCAAGAATTCTCTGTTTTTTTTTTTAAATTCAATATTATTAAATTATTTTTCTTTCCTAGATACATTTCTGAGAATTCAAAATTTACTAGAATTTGTATAATAGAAGCTAGAACAAAATAAATAAAGGGACGTAAGTAGGACATTTAGCAG